CCCAAGGCATCACTTTAAATCTGGAGTTGCTCTGAGGTCTGTCGGCCTTGGCCTTCTCACCTGTGGAAGGGGGGCTGGCAAAGTGGACCTCTTTGGCAGGTAGCTAAGCATCAGATACTGGGGCACATACAGTATTCACGACAGTTGCTGCTGTGTGGCTCTGGTGCCATGAACAGTAGTACATCTGTCTGTGTGCCATGTTTGAGTCCAAGCAGAATCTGGGGCTGTGTACCTGGGACTCTCCTCATGCCCATCCCCACAGTCCCAATCTGGGACAGTTGTAACATGAATTTCTAAACTGTCTTATTAATAAAAACAAAACAAAACAAAACCCTCAGGAGCCAGGTATTGGGGTGAATTCTGAAAGATCAGAGAAGCAGAACAAGCCATAGATAACCTCACCTTGCCAGTTTCTCAGCTGATCTTGTTTCCTCAAACTGGAAGCCTCTGAGTCCTCACCTGAATGGATCTCAGCTGAACTGCTACTAAAAGCCTAAAAGCTTAAAAGCCTCTAGTCCTGGTCCTCATGCCTTATATACCTTTCTGCTTCCTGCCATCACTTCCTGGGATTAAAGGTGTGTGTGTCTTTCCCAAGCAAGACATGAGATCTCAAGTGCTGGGATTAAAGGTGTGGGTCACCATGCCTGGCTGTTTCCAGTGTGGCCTTGAACTCACAGAGATCCGGATGGATCTCTGTCTCCGGAATGCTGGGATTAAAGGTTTGTGCTACCACTGCCTAACCTCTATGTTTAATATAGTGGCTGTTCTGTTCTCTGACTCCCAGATAAGTTTATTGGGGTGCACAGTATATTGGGGGACACAATATCACACAGACAGTGAACCGAGTCAGATAAAAGGGTTAGGGTGCAATGATGACTTCCTTCCTTCCTTCCCCATCAACTTTTGCCCCTTTGGGGCAGCCCCCTCCCCTGCCCTGTTTCTCCTCATCTTCGAAGTTGTGCAAGGGGAACTGTGAATTTAAGTCGAGGGTTGTATCTCAGATCCTACTTTTCCCGTGAATTCGGAAAGGTTAGGCTGTGGCTCCTTGGGCGGCTGTGAGGGTGGAGAGGGAGTAAGTTACATGTCTGTAGAAGAACCCACTTCTGTTTATGGCACAGTGGTGCCTTCCCTTCGTGGGGTGAGGGTGGAATGTCACGCTCCACCCAGGGGAAGCAGTTCCTTTGTCCTGCTGTCTTTCTGCATCCCCGAGACCTCTGTTTCTCTCGCATCTTCCCCTGTTAATCTTTCCTGATCATTCTGTGTTAAGGGTTTTTCTCACCGTTTATAACTACACCTTCACAGAGTATTCCTTTGGATAGATTTAGGACAGATAAAGATTTAAAAATCTTTACTCTAGACAAGCACCTAAGGGAAAAATTTAAATTATGGCATATGAGCTGTGTGACGCTCCTGCTTTTCTTTCTACAGACCTCAAAAGACCCAGGTCCTTTTGGTTTTGAGACAGGGTCTCCCAGAATAGTCCAGACTGGCCTTGAACTCAAAATCCTCCCACCTTGGCTTCCCATTTAAGTGCTGGGGTTATAGGTGTGTGCCAATAAGCCTAAATTCTTTTTTGTTAAAGAAAAATTAAAATTATATTTATTTAGTGTGTGTGTGTGTGTGTGTGTGTGTGTGTATGTATAGTGCTGGTACATGTGTGCCACAGTGTGTGCACGGAGGTAAGAAGACAGCGTGTGGAAGTTTGTCTTTTTCTTCCGCCATGTGATTCTTGGGGGATGGAACTCAGGTTCCTCACGCTTGGCAGCAATCGCCTTTTCCCATGGAGCCGCCTCACCAGCCTCTAAATTCTTTGAAGGTAAAGAAGATGTGAGCCTCTTGACTGAACCAGTGAGTCAGTCCTTGACTCTTTTCTGTTGTGCAGAGGTGGAGGCCAGCTAGCCCTTGAGAAGGAGGCTCCTGAGGGAAACAAAAGGAACTTGGCCCCCGGGGTCTGCATGTTAACAGGTGACTCACCCGTTGCCTCGCGGCAGTTTCGCTCCGGCTGCAGAGAGCTCTGGAACTTCCTCTGCTAACCTGCCTGCGGTTGCAGGTGGCAGCAGGCTGGACGGAGAAGCTCGAGTCGCAGCCCACCGCCGTGAGCCCCTTCCCATAACCACCAGGCCCGCCTGGAAGTGCAACCCCAGGTCTGGTGGAAGTGAAAGCGGTGATGGGAGCCACCCAGGTCTATTTTGGGGGTTCTGCCTGAGTTCACCTCTCACCTATCTGAAGGGCTGGCTTGGTGCGGTTTCCTCTCTGCCTTTATAGAAATTGGCTCAGGCTTCTTCACGGTCTTACCGTTTGGCCCCAGAAGCTCCGTGGACACTGGGAACCTTCAACATTGCCACCCAGAACTGATATTTTGCTTCATGCCTTATGGTCACTGTTAGAATGTCACTGAGTCCTGGTCCTATTGCCTGGGTGTGGCCTGAGTCTCAGACTCTTGGGAGTTTGAGAGACTAGAGATTCTGACCTGACAGGATCTGGTTCCTGGAGCAAATCTTCCCTGCTTACCCGTGCTCCATGGTAATTACTGCCCCCTTCTGTCTCCTCCGTCCTTCAGGAAGGGCAAAGCTATCGCTAAAGCGGCTGGAAGGTGATCGGAATATTCAATGTGGCTTCTATTTCTGGTTTCCTGACTTTTCTTGCCTGAGGTACAGTGAGAATGTCATACAAAATTTGATTAGGGAAGAACCAGTGTAACCAGCTCAGCCACTTGAGATAAAAATGTGGTAATATTACTCTTATATTTCTAATAAATGTATTCCACTCACACAGGCCCTTGCGGGGCCCTCTCTTTGAAGGTCTCCTATGATGTGAGCGCACACTTGTGGAGGGGAGTGGGTCGCTCAGCGCGAAGGGTCAGTCATTTTAAGATCCAGCCACAGCAGGGAAGTGGCTCAGTGCCTCTCTGACACAGCCTTGCTTGGCTCCTGCTGAGTGTCACTCTTGCAGACTCTTGGAGGTCCCGCACAGCTCCTTGGTGGCCCAGGTAGTAGAGGCAGAAGTCCCATGTTCTCCATCCCTGCAGAGACTGACTGACAATGGTGACTACTCAAAGATACAGTTCTCCGGGGTCCCACAGATAGCTTCCCGAGTTTGACCTGGAACAGGGCTCAGTCCTGGGGCTACATTCCGAGGAGGCACCCGGATAAACTCTGCCTTTAGCAGTTCAGTCCAGGAGTGTGTGAGCGCTGCCACAGTGTGAGCTTCAGGCTTTGAGTTGAGCCCGAGTCAACCCGTGATGACTCTCACTGACTTCCTAGCTGGGTTTCTGGTCCTTCTGATGGACTTTCATTCTCAATGCCCCACTAACTTCCTAGCTGGGTTTCTGGTCCTTCTGATGGACTTTCATTCTCAATGCCCCACTAACTTCCTAGCTGGGTTTCTGGTCCTTCTGACAGACTTTCATTCTCAATGTCCCCATCTCTCTTCCCCCAGCTTCTTATATGTTTTGTGAAGCCCTTTTTCATTGGTCATTTTTTTCATACCATGGAGAGAGGCTATTTGTTTATATTCAGTGCAAAATGTTCATTGGATCTGGGAGGGACCTCCAGGGGACTCTTCCCTGAACAAAGAAGAGATGTTTGACATGATGGGGTGCCTCTACCCTGACAAAGTGTGTGGCTCTGACTGCAGATGTGGGGGATAGGTGGCAAGCAGTGTTAGGCATTCAGTTCTGGGAAATTCAAGGTCCACAGATGGAGATTTGCATGCCACATTGGACTTGCTCTGTCTGCAGACCATTCAAGGCCCAAACCTTTCAGTCTTCATTTGCTAGCAGGTTGACTTACATCTCTAAAATTCCAAAGTTGGCCTCTGGGGTTGAAGTCATTCCTTTCCCAAATGATTCAAAATTGGAAGGAATATTTTAAAATTATATTTGAAATATAATCATTAAAGGCTGACATGTTTAGGTTAAAGGACAGATTTTGAAAAGATTCAAGTCATGATTCATATAAATACAAAAGAATGCCTGTAAATAAAAACGAAGCTTTGGTTCAACTCAATCAAAGAACCAATAAGAGGCTGCAACCAATTCAAAAAGAATCCAGCACACACACACACACACACACACACACACACACACACATATGGGAGTCAGAACCATTACAGGGAATTTATAAATAGTTACAAACTGCTCAAAAGCCAGAGACTGTAACCCTAAACTTAATTTGCATTTCTATGGACATGAATCAGGTGTTTTTTTAAAATAAATTTTCTATAACTTATAGGTGTAACATGATTCAAATACAAGGCACGTGAGTGATAACTTGGATGACTTAGGCAAGGCATGGGATTGTGTCTCCTTAGTTTTTGGCTATTCCAGAGTCTGACATAATTTTCACAGATACTCATTTGATTCTGAGTTCACAGGAGGGATGATGGACTCTGGGGAAGCTGCGCCACAAGGATGCCAATTACACAGACTCAGAGACATTTGCTTCGGGTTATTCTTAGGACCCCATTGTACTCTGTTCCTCATTTTTCGTATAGAGTGGCGGAAAGAGCCCAGACCGAAGAGCAGGGCTGTGTTCTCAGTGCATGACTGACCTGCAAAGCTTTTGCCGAGCATCTCCCATCTGAAATTCAGTTCTCTCTGAAAAAATGCAGGTCGTATGTTATGGCCTGTACCATGTCTCTGCATCGCTGGTTAAAGGAGATCTCTCCTGAGCACCATGTCTCTGCATCGCTGGCTAAAGGAGATCTCTCCTGAGCACCATGTCTCTGCATCGCTGGTTAAAGGAGATCTCCCCTTCTGATTGCCCAGAAGTCCCACGTTGGAAAATCTGTCTTTGACTTCAAAGATAACAGGATCTCGACCCCGTTCCTCTGAAATGCTTTTTCCACCATGCTCATACACTTACTGGCTCCACTGTCTATCAGGAGCCTTCATCCAGAGGCCCGGGCTTCATGGCTGTCTTTATCCTTCCCATCAGCTGTAAACCCAGCTCTTATTAGCTTTACTTCCTGCGTGTCTGCCCAGCTCAGCATCCTCAGAGTTTCCGATGTTGGTACCCTGGCCACGCCACTGCCGTTCTTTCTTGGTTTGCTCTCAGTGTCTCTTGGGCTCAGGAAGTCTTCCTACACCCAGTCTTGCCCTCCAAACTTTCTTTAGAAATATCCAGAGTGACCTTTTAAAAAAATGCATGTCAAAGTGTAATTTCCTTTCACTTAAAACCTTCAATGGGTTTGCATTGCAGTGATAAAAAAAACTCCTCAACATCTCCCTGTGCCCTGAAATGGCTGTATGATGTGTGTGTGGCTTCCCTTGCCAAGTCTGCACCCTCCAGCTTGCTCCCTGCTTCCCCCCATCCCTACTCCAACCCCTGATGCTTTTCTGTTCCTGAGGAGACCATGCTCACATCTGCTGCAGGGACACTCAACTTGTACCCTCAGCCTAGAGTGTTCTTTCTGGAGATTCTCGGGTCAAAGGTCACCTTTTCAGAGGCCTCCCTTGACCTCTGTTGGGAGTTTATCATACTTTATCTCCCTGTCTTCAATTTTTTTTAATTCATGCTTTATCTCACTATCTCGGTCTCTATGTGTCCTTTTGTTTGTTTCCCACACCTTAACCCTGTCTCTTCTCCACCCTCTATCTCTTATCTGCCTTTCCTGTTTTCTTTCTTTCTCTTTTTTGGCAGACCACACCACACGTCCATACAGCTGTGCCTTTTACTGAGATAATTTTGTGTGTCCATTCTTGATTTCAAAGGCAATGGACATGCCCACTCACACTTATTTATCTCTAAAAAGACGCACATTCAGTCAAGATGAACTGATGTCGACATGTTCTCAGCTCTGGCTGCATGTATCCAGCCACAAGCCCATGGTTTCTAGAAGAAGAATGACGGCCAAGAATCTCTTTTGCTGCACTAGATACATACTCTGTTTCCATCCTTAAGTCAAGAAACCCTATTGCCGATCTCTTCTGCAGTTGGAGAAACAGGAGAGGTGTTTTTCATAAGAACGAGCTGTAATGTAACTTGTGAGTTCTTCCATGTGGCCTATTTCCCTTTGTTCATATCCACGCTGACACGTTTTCTTCTACAGTTTTTAATCTTCTCCCCTAGGAAGACAAAACAGCCCTTCGTGATACATATTAATTTTAGAATCATTAAGTAATTAGGAAAGCCAGGTGTGATAAATATAGAAGTCATTAAAAAGTTCATAGAACAGTTTGACTTTAGAAGAACTTTGTGCTGAAAATGTTTCATCCTCACCATGAACAGTTCCCTGGATCCAGATGCCAGAAAATGAAAATGGGCAGTCAAGGAAGGTGGACGTTTAGTCTCCACTGGGGGGGAGGGGTAGTGTTATGCTTTTGTTGTGCGGTTACGGTTTCGGCAGGTTATGGAGCTGTGGGAAGTGGAGCCCAGCTGGAGGAAGTGGCTCTCTGGGAGGCGGGCCTTGAGGTCTGCCGCTGAGCTCACTTCCTGTCCTGCTGTGCTTCCTGGCCTGTGAGAGGCAGGGAACACCTATCACAACTCTGCTGGCCTGCCTTCTCCACTGCAGTGCACTGTGTTCTCAGACAGCGAGACAGTCCAAGGTGGCTTCTGTAGCAGATGGATTTCTCTTCAAGAATACACTGGAGGGGGGAAGGCAGGACCACACCAGTGGTGTCGCGTGGGAACCCCTGCAGCCCAAACCATTGCAAGTGATTTAGGTCCAAGATCACATCGTCACCCTCCAGTCTGGATTGGCCCTCATGTATGTGCCACCTGCCTCTGGCCACCCCTGTGCTCCGAGTTTACTCTTAAATCCACAGGACCAGTCTTAAGCTCGCAGGAGAGATGTGTAGAGACAGTGGTCTGGGAGTGAAGGGCCACCTGCCTGTCATCAAAGTCCAGGGACAAATGGTTTGTTTTCTTGCTCATGCAGTCTAGAGACCGAGGCCAAAGGGAGAGAATTCCAAGGAATGTGTAGTGCTCTTACATGGACTATATTAAACAATACACCAGGCATGCCTGGCACCAATGCGGTAGAATGTACAGGATATGACCGGTGGCCATATGCAACTGATGGCCTTCTGTTGTTATTCGTTTTCTCATTTTCTTAGCAGATACCATACTTAGTCATCAGAAAATTCAAGAGTTCTTATTAACTGGGGGGCCCACTGGTAACCAGGGGCTTCTCCAGTCAGGATTATACAGATGGAAGTGCTATCTTATGGCAGCCTTTTCATGAATGGCAGGAATGCTTTTGAGTTGTTCCATTTTCCATCCCTGTTGCATGGAAACCCTGAGGATGCCCAGCTGGAGAATGGCTCTTACAGGAGGAGCTTCCACTGCCTGTTCTGAGGGCTTCCTTGGGAAGATCTATTTATGGCGTGAAGGCGATTTGTAAATTCCTCCAAATGTTAAGAATGAGCGGATCATGTGATCTGGTGGCTCACTAGGACCTGTGTGGATTTCTTGCAGAGTTGGTAAAATAATCCAATTCTATCACAACCCATTCTCCACCTACTTCCAAATTTCCCTTAGAGTGTTAACCGGAAGAGCATTCTCACAAGATGAGGGTCTGTGAGATGCTCTGTGAACAAGAATGCTATAATTAAACAATTTGTGGAACCCTTTCCTTTCCAGCCACATTCCTAAAGGCCCACAGTGCTCTGAAGGGTGGTAGGGGGGATGCAGAGTTGCCAGATTTGGTGTTGGCTGCCTCATGTGGACCTGGAGAGCAGGGAAGGGAAGGTTGTTTATGTTCATTTAGTTTGCATCTGTATCATTTGTTTACAAGAAGCACAGTGTTTCTTTGTCAGATAAGAGCTTAATAAAAATAATCAAACAAGAGGTCTTGCAAAAGGTTCCAGACTTAGACACCTAGCACCCACACCCCCCATCTGACTCAAAAGAGGGAAATGGCCTTGTTTGTAGAGAAAAGCATTCCCTGATGGATACCAGCATTCCAGAGCACACACCTCTCAGAAGAACACACCTGCAGGGCTAGCAGGGAAGTAAGACACGGGGCCCGTCCTATAGCTGGGAAAATTAACTACTGTTTAAAAGAAATTTACGCATTTTTTCCATGTTATATGCATTGGTGTTTTGCCACGGGTGCCAGATCTGCTGGAACTGGAGTTACAGACAGCTGTAAGCTGCCATGTGGGTGCTGGGAATTGAACCCGGATTCTCTGAAAGAGCAATCAGTGCTCTTAACAAATGAATTCTCTCTCCAGTCCTATACAAGGTACTTAAAGACACAGAGTGGCTTGTCTCACAAGGCACAACCCTATAGGGATAGGTAGAGACCCTTCCTTCCTTCCTTCCTTCCTTCCTTCCTTCCTTCCTTCCTTCCTTCCTTCCTTCCTTCCTTCCTTCCTTCCT